CAAGGTCCCCCGTCCCAGGATCCCCTGCCCTCCCGGGCCCACAGGCCGTGGCCCCAATCCGGGAAAACACCAGGGCTCGAGCCCGCTGCCCGCCGGACCCGGCCAGCGCGCCCGTGTCTGTAAATCAGACCCGCTCCCCCAGTAATGGGGAGATTCATCGTCCCTGTCACCCAGCGCCTCCCTGTGTCACTGCATAATGGCTGGTCGGTCAGAAAAACAGTCATTTTTATGCCATAAAGACCGAATTCTGTTTGTCTACCGAGAATGAATGCTGATCAAGCGGAAAGCCATAAAACCCCGGAGACAAAGGGTGAGGGATTCCCTTGCTGTGCCGGCTTTCCCTGGCCTGGCCCCGTCTGCCGCCTCTGGGGGCTGGGGGGCACCGCTGCTCCCCCTCCCACCCGCACCTGGCACGGGAGGTGAGTGGCAGGTGCCGCAGGTGGGCTGGCAAGTCAGGCCGGCTGGCGGCTCCTAGGCGGGAGGGGAGCCGGGCACCCCAGGACGGTCCTGCCGCGCCTGAGCCAGCCCCACAGTTCCCCAGCCCGGCCCAGACCCGGAGCCACAGAACACAGCCCCATTTGGAGACTTTGGACACGGGGCCTTTCAAGAGGTAATTTAGTTAAAGCAAGGCCCTTTGGTGGGCCTTGATCGAACCCGACCAGTGTCCTTAAGAGATGAGCCTAGCACTCTGGGAGGCCCAGGCAGGTGGATAACTCAAGGTCAGGAGTTCCAAACCAACCTGAGCAAGAGTGAGACCCCGTCTCTACTATAAATAGAAATTAATTGGCCAACTAATATATACAGAAAAAATTAGCCGGGCATGGTGGCGCACGCCTGTAGTCCCAGCTACTCAGGAGGCTGAGGCAGGAGGATCGCTTGAGCCCAGGAGTTTGAGGTTGCTGTGAGCTAGGCTGAGCACGGCACTCTAGCCTAGACAACAGAGCCAGAATCTGTCCCCCCCCACCCCCCCCCAAAAAAGAAGATGAGGACAGGGACACAGAGGGACATGGGGAAGGTGCCGTCTGCAGGCCAAGGGGAGCCCACGGGAGAGCCCAGCTGCCCGGCAGCGCGGGTCTGGGGCGTCGGCCTGCGGAGCTGGGGGAGGGTGAGCATGTGGTCCGTGGGCCGCCCTGACCGTGGCGTTTGCCGTGGCGGCCGAGCAGGTCTGCGCCTGCAGCCCGGCCAGGGCGGCTCTGTCTGCTCCTCCCCAGGGACGCGGCCCAGGCAGGACAGCCCTTGCAATCACCAGACAGAAGGGGCCCAGCGTGGACGTCCCTGTGGAACAGCCACGCTCCGTGGCCAGCCTCACGTGGATGGTCTGCGGCGCTGTAACTCTACCGGCAACCCCGCCGCTCTGGCGACCAGGAAGGAGGCGTCGTCCCACACTGGCCTGGGCCACGCTCTGGTGGGACCACCTCACACGTTCCACCAGGGAAGAGGCCACGGCCAGGCGACCTCTGTGCACCTGGACTAACCGGGACCCAGGACTGCCTCGCCTGGACACGGCCCCGGGAGCCGGGCTCTGAGCTGGCCGGGCCGAGCCTTAACCCACGGCGGTGAGCGTCACAATCGCAGGGAAGCTTTGACGGGCGAGGCCGTGGCATCTGCCCGGGCGACCTGTTGTCAGCCTGTCCCTGCCCACGTTCCGCGTGGGAGCCTCTGCCACAAGCTGGGGCCCCTGGACCTGGAGGGGCCTAGGTCACTCCCACCCCCACCAATGTCCAGCTGAGACGGCAACACTCACTGGACAGGAGGGCGGGCCAGAAGCGGAAACGGGGGGACACCAGGGACCTGGGACACGGGAACATCGTAACACTCAGGATCTGCGGTGACCAAGAGCTGGAGGGGACAGGAAGGAGGCTGATCCCAACTACTGTGGCCTGGGGGGCGGGCTCCACCAGATGTGGCAGGTCAAATCAAAGCCACCCTTGGGGTCACAGGAGACCCCGCCACCTGCCCTGACCGCCCCAGCAGCTCCAGAGGTCGGGAGGGAGGAAACACATGGCAAGGAATCAGGTGGGGCCGAAGCCGGCCCAAGGGTCCGGGCAGACGGCGGGCACCAGAGAAGAGCATTTCTTCCCGCCGGCCTGCAGGGCTGGTGCCGAGGGTGGGCGGCCCCCCGGCGACCAGAGAAGGTTCCGGGCCTCAGCTTCAGTCGAGCTTGGCGGGTGGGGCAGCCAGACAGGATCTGAGAGGGCAGCTTGCTCGGCACCCAGCACCCTCCACGGGCTGCACGGGACACCTGGCGTGTCCTGCTCTCATGCCCGACCCAGCCACAGACACGCACGGCACACGCCTGCACACGAGAGGCGCAGGCCACTTCCCCAAGAGGGGGTTAGGGTTAGCCGCCCAGGTGCCCACCGAGAGAGAAGGGGCAGCGCGAGGAGGAGGAGGAGGAGGTCCCACACAGGCTCCTACGTGGACGAGTGTCGAGGACAAGCAGCCGAGGGGGAAACGCACCTGGCTCCACTCACAGGACGTCCCCGGAGTCCTCAGGTCCACGGGACGGAAGTGGGCCGGGGCTGCCAGGGCGGGAGGACGGGACCAGGGTCTGGTGGGGGCAGAGCTGCAGTTTAGGGAAATGGAAGGTTCTAGAGATGGACGGTGGAATGGCTGCACAGCAACGTGAATCTGAACCGTGCTGCAAAAACGGTGAGGTTTACGTCAAGCGCAGCGAAAGGCGCTCGTATTAATGACCTCACAGGAAAACCGCCTGCACACAGGAGAATGAACCCACAACACACAACGTCCCCCTGAAAAGGAAACGCACGACTACCCTGTTTTGTTTAATTAAACCACCTGTGGGCTGACTCGCTCTCCCTAAGACTTGAACCCCTGGGCCCTGCAGAGCCGAGGGCGGGAAGCAGGGTGCGGGCTCCCCGCCCCCACGCTCTGCCCCGGGTCCCGCCAAAATCCAGACTCCAGGACTCAGATGAACCTCCTTCCCAGAGATGGGCCCTATGTGTGTGTGGGGGGGTCCCGCTCGTGTCCTGCGCTGAGCATCTCGGGGCGTCCGTTCGTGGCAAGTGGGTTTCAGTCCTTGTCCCCCGGACGGAGGAGGAAGGGGAGCAGGCAGTCCTGGGCTGTGCTCCCCACACCCGCGGGACCCTCCCCCAGGCCCAGTCCTGTCCCCACAGCCACCTCCCGCCCAGCACCTCAAAGGTCACAAGGGTCACAGCTGGCAGCGCTGTGCCCCCTCCCCTCCCCCCCATCCTCCCACAGCAGGAACGTGGTGCACAGCGCAGGTCCGAGGAACGGCCAGGACCCGGGGGCAGCAGGCCGCTCCCCTCGCCTGGGAGGCAGCACCCACCCTGCTCGGCTGGCCAGTATACAGCAGGCGCTGCACGTGCTGGCCCCTTCCCCACAGCAGCCGCCCTTGGAGGTTGAGTGACCCACACCATGGGGTCAAGCGAAGACCCAGCTTCGACCAGAGTGTGTCGCATGTGTGGCCGGGCGTGTCTGGAAGGAGCCTGGGGCTCGGGGACGTTCCCGGCCACCGGGCACCGGCTAGGCACAGCCGCGCCTTCCTGCTGGGCTGGAGGGCGAGGGCCGTGGCCCAGGGCGTGGGAAACGTTGACGCGGCCCTCCCCAGCCACGACCCCGCGGCAGACTCTGGGGTCTGAGCAGCCGAGATGAACGAGTCCCCTCCTTTAAAAACCCGCAAATCACAGAGGCTGTTAACAGCACGCACTGTGGTGGGTCCCACGGCGGTTTCGCGGCTGCGCCAGGAGCCCGCCGCGGAGCGTGGCGCCACCACGCGCAGAACACGCGGGACCCTCCTCTCTGCGGGCCGTTTCCCCTCCGAGCCACGCGGGCTGCCGGTCCCCACGCGTGTGCTCGCCGGGGTTTCCGCTTCAGAGTGCCTTTTCCATCTTACAGGATGGCACCTCGGAATCTAGCCGTTTGCGCCCCAAAAAACATCACTTCATCTTTCACAACTGAAACGCTGAAGGATTGCTTTTATTTCTAATCAGCAGTAACAGCGCAGCTTACTGCCGGCTACAAGGACGCAAGTGAGCCGTGCTCAGTAACATGTTTTATTTACGTAGGCAGCACTTAAAACACGCTGTGCATTCAGGGTTACACTTCCCACAGAAGGCATCCAAGCCCAGCCCGCCCCCTGCCCAACCACCTGCACCACCTCCCGCCAGCACCAGACAAGCACACGATGCAAACTCCAAACTCCGCCGAGAGGGCTCTCAGCCACGGGCCACGCTGGCCTCGGGCTTCCAGGCCCGTGGCACTGCTCCGTGGACCGTGCCGCCCAAGAACTCCCGGTTTCAACAGCGCTAGATTAAAATGGGTGGTGTTTCTAAGTCACATCAAAGCTTTTTACGATGGCCTCACTCCCAAGAGGACAAAGGAAAAAGCAGTGTGAGCAGCAGGTCTTCGTGTCAGAAAGGAAGAAAAGGGTCACCGAGAGGGAACGTGCCGGGAAGCGGCTCAGGTGAGGCAGGGCTCGCCCCAGTGCTCGGCGGGGACGGGTTAGGAAGCACGTGTCATGCGGAGGAAGTGAAGTAGTCACGGGAGGCAGGCAGAATCTAGCCGGAATACAATGACTGGCTTTAAGGAGCCAGTATTTGCAAACTGAAGTATTTGGTTCAACCTTCTCACTCAGCATCTATTTTCCTGCGTCGTAGGAAGAGCCCAGCGTGACCACAACCTGCAAGAGCTAGCGGTGGCTTTGCTGAGCAAACTTTTTTTTTTTTTGCTAAAAAGAAGAATTATGGGTCCAAGAAGAAAGGATGAAATTTAGCAGAAACTAAACAGTATCTGAAGTTGAATGAGGATTACCTGGACAGGATCAAAACCGAAATGATGAATACAAGCAGTGACTTCACATCTGAAGCGGTTCCCGACAGCCCAGCGTGCGTGCGGGTGGCCGGACGTCCCCAGCTCACCCTGCCGCGGCCTCACCGCTCGGTCCCGCCGCACTTAGCTACGCTCTGCGCTTTGTCAAACGCTCCCCGCCGCCGGGAAAGAAAGTGGCCTCACAAACACGTGCTCAGGGACTGCCTGGCCCTTATTGTACTTCTACAGCTACGCCTGTCTCAGCAGTGTGACGGGGCGGGGACCGGCCAGAGGCCCGGGACGGCGCGGGGGAGACGCGGGCAGGGCAGGGCAGGGACTGGAGGCCGCGCCCCGAGCTGCTGCCGCTGCCCGCCGCCCCGGCTCCCGAACCCCGGCGCCCCTGCCCGACAGATGCATGATCACACGTCCGTATTCCTGCTGTCAATCCCGACTAAGGTGGGTGTGGCCTTGGGACAAGTACCGACCGAGATGCTGCTACCTATGGCGTGCACAGCCGCGCACGGAGCAAGGCCCGCGCCGACGCCCCCCCAGCGCCGCGTGCCGCGTGCCCGGCCAGTCCCGTCTAGTGGTTGCCCTTGGTCTGCGGCTTCTTCTTCTTCGACTCCTCTTTCTGCTTCTGCTTCTTCCTCTTGCCAACTTCCTTGACCCCTACGGAGACACGGTCGTAAGACACTGTGCAGAGCAGCGGTGCTCCCCGCTAGGAGGCAAACATGCTTTCTAGCTGCGTCCCCAGGTCAAAAGAAAAGGGGCAGCAAAGTCGCCCTTCTTGGCCTCATCTAAACCTCGGCGAAAACACGAGCTGCCTTTGCAAAGTGCAGGAGTGCCACGCTCACACCGAGCGCACGCCTGCCCCAGCAGCACGGCTGGGCGCGGCTCTGCGGGAAGGGGAGGCTGTACTCTGTCCTGGACCCCTCAGTCCTCTGGACCACCCGCCGCCACTCCCACCTCGGAGGCGGGACCCCGGCGTCTCCCTGGGCTTCCCGGGTGCTGCCAGAGCGCGAGGCCATCCTGCAGGGAGAGCCCCCTCGAGCTGGGCTCTGGGTGTTCAGCCCCGCAAAGCCCCGTCTCGCGTCTGAGGACGGAGACCTTCCCTGTCCCCGCGTCGCGTGCAGAAAGCCAACGAGACTGCGCGGAGGACCTAGCCAGCTGGAGCCAAAGGAGAAAGACACGTTCCCCGTCCGGACGTCCCGTCCGCAGGGCCAGAAACCAACAGCTGCGACTGCAGTTCTGCAGGGACCGCCCCAGGCTCGGCCCCCCGACGTGGGTGGAGGACTCGGGCCTGATGGTGAATTCGGGCAACGAGAAATCAGCTCAACGGCTCGACTAAACCCGCACCCAGGACACACCCGCAGACGCGGGCGGGAATGGGGGTCACGCACACCAGCCCCACCTGACAGGCCACCGCAAAGCATCCTCAGCCCCCGACACTGCGGAGCCACAGTCTCCTGGGAGACGGGTCAGAGCGAGGACACAGCCCACACGAGGGGCTCGCCCTGGGGACCTGCAGCCAACCCGCCAACCCGCCACCCGCCCGGCACCCACACCCTGTCCCCACACGCGTGTTCCGGGGCGGAGTCCAGCGGGTGTGGTTCGTTGGACACCCACAGCAGCACACGGACTTCCGAACACACGGGCCTGCAGGCACGCCCTTCAGAGCCCGCGGCTCACATACTGAACACGCTCTGACCCTGACCACTGTTCCACGGGACGGGCCCCGCGCCTGCACAGAAACAAGCCGCACACCTGGCCCGCGTGCACCCACGCACCGCGTCCACTCACACCTGCGCACACGGAGCCCGGCGCGCACCTGGACTGGCCCACCAGAGCAGCAGGGGAGCACGCCACGCTGCATAAGGGGCTGAGCGTCAACACCGCGAGTTCAGGAAAGTTGCCTCCAAGTCACTGGAAGACAGACAGACAGACAGACAGGGCCGGGCCGGGCACATGCGGCTGCGGGGTCGCCGAGCACCTGCTCCCACAGCCGCGGCCCAGGCCAGCTCTGGAGACAGGGGGCCAAGCATGCTGCCTCTGGGAACGGCGGCCATCATAGGAACCTCGGGGTAAGGGAAGGAGGTCAAGAGATGACACCTTCAGAGGATGTGACAGGCCCGCTCTGACCTGACGCTGCCCCCCTGGGCAGAGCCCGAGGGCGTGAGCAGCAATCACGGGACCCGTGGGCCCTCCCGGACGTGCTGAAGGACAGCAGGTGGCGCAGAGGGTGCAGCAGCCTCACTGCCAGGTGAGCCTCCAGACCAGGAGCTTCTGAAGTGAGTCCCCAGGTGCAGCCGGGAGCCCAGCAGGGAGGGTCGGGGGTTTGCAGGCGGGCGGGGTTTGCAGCGCATGTGCCGGGCGGACACCCACTGACACGCGGGTGCGGTGGGTTAGAGAATGCTTGTGCGAGCCGGTTAAAACAGCCACGTGCAGGACCCGACGCCACGGAACTAACAGCAGCTGAACCGAAAAGCCCTCGTGTGCGGTTCTCTGGAACCCTGGTCGATTAGGGGCTCAAGCCTCCAACTGTGGCTTTCTGTTTTCTGACTCATTTCAGTTAAAACAAACTTTAAAAGTTTACGTTTCATGCAGGGAGGTGAGGATGGCCCCTTTTCCCCCTAGCAGATTCAATTACATTTGTATGTAAAATGAGCCAAAAACTGCACTCCCAGCTACACAGGAGGCCGGGGGAGGAGGATCTCTTAGCCCAGGAGTTCAAGGCTGTAGCACTACGAATGAGTCTGTGAACAGCTACTGTACTCCAGCCTGGGCAACACAGCAAGACCCCATCTCTAAACCAACCAACCAAAGAGAAAAGAACGTCTGCCTAACCTAGCACTCAGGGGCTGGCCCTCACCTTTGGCAATTTCCCACTGAGGCCGGGGACCCTCCCAGTTCCCCTCGCTGCGCCTCCTGAATTGTCCTGGTGATCAGGACAGACACCCTGGGGTCAGACACCGTGTGACCCGGCTGGCACGTCCAGCCCCAACGATGACAACCAAAGGGTGGGGCTCCCAACCACTTCTGCTAGAAGGCATTTTCCCCACTGAGACAAAGTTTCTCTCTGTCACCAGGCACAGTCACAGCTAACTGCAGCCTCCAACTGCTGGGCTCAAGCGATCCTCCTGCCTTGGCCTCCCGTGTAGCCAGGACTGCTACACGGATGTGTGCACCACCAGGAAACCTTCTTGAAGATTAACCCGAAGGGATTTCAGCGCAAATGCCAAAACTCCGAGCCTCCGAGCTGGTGCGCATGTGCCCACGGCAGCCGAACACCTCCTGTGCGTGCCGTGCCCGTGGGCTGCTGCGCAGTGGCAGCTGCGGGAGGCAGAGCAACTGGCCGGGGGAAGCCTGAGCGGGCCCTGAGCCCCGCGTGTGTGGGTCCCTGCAGACAACTCCGCCGGGGCACGCTCTTCCTTTAACAGAAAGCCTCCACCCCGCTTCCGGAACACGCCTGCACACGCCGAGCCTGCACCAAAGGTCTGGGACGGAGGAGAAGGAATCGAAAACAAGCCAAATTCTCTGGGTCAGGGGAAAGGACCCGGAGCACAGGGGCCTGCAATGGTGCCTCAGTCCTTGCAGACGGGCTCCCGGCAGGACAGCGCAGTCCCCGCCCCGCCGGCTCCCAGAGGCTGCGCCCCTCAGAGGACACGGGCCCCTCCCCTCGCGGACCTCAAGGCTGCAAAGCCAACTGCGTGAAGCCCCCTGACCCAGAACAAAGGAAACAACAGGTGCTCATCTAAAACAGCAACTACAACTGCTGCCCATGCTTTCTGGGCGAGGGATAATAAACTCACCACTTAACACGTCCTAACAGAAAAACACTCTTACGGGATGCTACACGCTCTTCTCAACGTGTACAAACACACAAGTTCGTTTCATTAAAAAGAAACTTCAAGCTTCCGCGAGCTAGTAACGGGGTTAAATTCCAGTCTTTAAAGATGGAACTAAAGGGAAACATTCTACGGCACCTCTGGGTACGTTGCTTTTTAAGACCAAAAAAAAAAAAAAAAAAAAAAAAAAAAACAAAAAAAAACGGTAAAGGACCGATTTTATTCTTTCATTCATAAAGTTTTGTTTAATTTTCCTTTTTAACGGTTATGCGTTCTTGATGGATTTACGCACGTGCGGAGTTCTTGGATGCGAGGTGACACTGATCCTGTCCACAGTTTCACTGTCTGAGTGACTAGTTCCCAGTGACACCAGCATGAGACCCACAAGCGCCTCTGTGCTTCCACTACGGGACAGCGCGGGTTTGAGGGGAGGTCAGTGATTTGAAGTAACAGCAGGTCAAAGGGCAAACGCCAGCAAGTCAAGCACATTTCTACTCATTCGCCTGTACAGCACCAGCAAGAGCTCCCTGAACGGCCAACCGCTGAGGCTGAAACTGCAACCTCCTTCCCGAGTGCCTGGGCTTCCCAGTGCCACGGGGTTCCGAGCTGCACCCCGACAGTGAACTGCATTAGACAGGCCATCAACACGGGAAATCGGCCGGGCGCGGTGGCTCACACCTGTAATCCTAGCTCTCTGGGAGGCTAAGGCAGGTGGATTGCTCGAGGTCAGGAGTTCGAAACCAGCCTGAGCAAGAGCGAGACCCCCGTCTCTCCTAAAAGAAAAAATAGGAAGAAATTAATTGGCCAACCAATATATATAGAAAAAATCAGCCGGGCATGGTGGCGCATGCCTGTAGTCCCAGGTACTCAGGAGGCTGAGGCAGGAGGATCGCTTGAGCCCAGGAGTTGGAGGTTGCTGTGAGCTAGGCTGACGCCACGGCACTCACTCTAGCCTGGGCAACAAGTGAGACTCTGTCTCAAAAACAAAACAAAACAAAACCACGGGAAATCCTCACATAAGCAGTGAGCATAGTATTTTGAGGGCTGCGTTTTGAGTGACAGCTCATTCCAGCCTGGAAAAGTCACTTCCTAGAATCACCCGGGACCGTGGCCTGTGCACTCCGGTCTTCCGCAGAGCGGATGCAGCTCCTGCAAGCTCTGGCGGGGGCTGGTCGGACACAGGGCCCCACACTTCTGGGGTGATCAAGTTCCTTCCTATGTGCTTCTTTTTAATAAACATTGCCCAAGACTTGCAAATTTGGCAAAAAAAAAAATGATACCAGGGCCCACAAGCCTGGCCAGGAGCTGCCTCAGTTTCCCAGGACAAGGGGCTTCTCAGACAGCGAGGCTTTGGGTCCTCCGCCCGGAACGTCCAGGGAAACAACAGGGACACACCTTCCCGACAGGCCCATGCCGCCGGTCAGCGCCCAGACTCTGCCACGTTGGATGAGGGCGTTGTGGACGGTTACTGCAGAGACGCAAACCAATCTGTTCTCTTTTCTACTCTGGCAATTTCTTAAATCCTCCTCCGAATCAGATTTGGTACCTCTCAATAAGAATTTAAGTAAAAAAATCTTTGGGGCCACTCACACCTGTGATCCCAGCACTCTGGGAGGCCGAGGTGGGAGGACCGTTGAGGCCAGGCGGTGGAGACCAGCCCGAGCAAGAGACCCCGTCACTACAAAAATGCAAAAACTAGCCGGGCGTGGTGGCAGGTGGCACCTACAAAACCAGCTACTCGGGAGGCTGAGGCAGGAGGTTCGCTTGAGCCTGGGAGGGTGATGCTGTAAGTTGAGGGGTGACTGTGTCACAGCACTCCAGCCCGGGTGACAGAGCAAGACCCTGTCTCAAAACAATAAAAGTCTTTCGCATGTGCTCGTCACATATTTGTATGAAAATCATCTTTAATTCTTCGACGATTTAACTCTGACACTCTTCAAGGCCTCGTAACTCGACTGAACAAAATGACAGACCAGAGGAGAGGAGGCTGCTCCCGGCCTGCTCCAGCCCGGCCCCGGAAGCTCATCTGGCTTCCGCCACCTGGTGCTGGGGCTCCTAGGTTACCTGCTTTTCCCCACTCAAAAAAGGGGTCTTGTTGGGAACCTGATGATAAAAGCCGACAAACAAAAATTTGGTGGGAAGATCCCCCTCCTGACTGTCCCACCGACTTGTGCACAGCAGCGAGTCTGCCCCTGGCCGGACAGGCGTGCTCTGCGGGACCAAGCGACGCTGCCCCCCCCCGGCCCTGAGCGAGGACCCAGGCGACCCGGTCTGCCCGGCCCTGCCGCTGCGCCTCCTCCAAGACGTGGGCTGCTGCTGGAAACGGGGCACCTCCAGGCAGCCCCCCGCCTGGCCATCTCGCTCTCGGAACCGGGAAATGACAAGGCACCTGGCTGGCCAGGTGTGCGGGGGCGTCCCGGCCCAAACCGCTCCAACGGCGTCTGTCTGGGGAAACTGGACCCACGACCCCGCTCTGCCCTGCACCTTGCAAAGACGCTCCGCCTGACGCTGCCCAGCCCTCGCTCAGACCCCTCGGCGCCGACAGGCGGCGGTCAGCCCTGCGACCCGCCCGCAGCCGGCCAACGCAGCCGGCGCTTTCCGAGCACACGGCCCGCGCCTGCGCCCGGCCCTGCCCATCAGTGACACGCGGGCGGGCTGCAGGGGGAAGGGGGGAGCAGCTGTGCCCACCCCGGGGCCAGCAACGCCCCACCTACAGGACAAAGTGACTCCAGCTCTGCAGTGGTGGCACGCTTCCTCCTGTCCCTGCAAAACCACAACAGACAACTCCACCTCATCTGAGAAGGATCAGGGCGGACTTGGGGGGGCTGACTTTCCAAAGGAAAGTTCTAAGAAAGGAGAGGAGCCGCCGACCCCCATCTCTCCTGCCTGCCTGGACGGCACCTTTGCCCAGGCCCACGGGACGAGCCTCAGGACACACACTCGAGCCACCTGACACACCTCGGAACAACAGCGTCTCTCCACGACACAGCCCACTGCGGCCCACCTGGCTGCTTCCCGCGGGTCGAGGTGCACCTCTGCGGGCTCCGGGGCTCGGGCGGGTCCGCCTGAGGCGCAGCGCCCCTCAGAGAGGGTCCCAACCTGGGGACACACGCTGGATACCCCCGACCTGTGACCCTCAGCCGGTAGCACCCTGGGAGCCCGACACAGGGCGGCCCCCGGAGTCTGTCGCTGTGAGCCCAAGTCAGAAGGCAGAGCAGGGGAGGGGACTGGGGCGCAGGCACGGGGGCTAGGTCCCGGTTGCAGGCGCTAACGCAAAGGCACAGACAGTGCGTGGAAGGTGAAAGCAGCACCTGGCGGCCCCTCCACTGGGCCCGGACACCGGCTCACACACATCCCGGGAGATGGGGACCCGGTTTTAATCGTGGGAAGGCCTGCCCCTGCGGCGGGGCCCGCCTTCCCGGGGCGGGGGTCCAGGAGGGGCGCGAGGGTGGGTGTGGGGCCGGGCTGCCGGGTCAGGCCAGCACGCAGCAGCACAGGGGCAGCCTCTGTCCTCTCTGTCTTCCGGGCTCTGGGGAAGCAGGGTGTTCGACGGGCCTCGAGTCAGCCTCCCCCTGCACACCTGCTGAGGACACGGCGGGGTCCCAGGGCCCGGGGCCCCTCGGGCGGTGCTGTGCACCCTCCTCCTCGCGGGCGTGGTGGGGCGCGGGTCTGAGCACCGAGGCCGGCCGCTGTGGCTTCGGCGAGCGGGCGCTGGCGGGCCGGGTGCAGGCGGGCTGGACGCTGGCAGGCTGGACGCTGGCAGGCTGGATGTTGGGAGGCTGGACACTGGCGGGCTGGGCGCTGGCGGGCCGGACCGGCAGGGCGCTCTGGCCTCTCCGCAGGCATTCCTGCGCCAGGGCGTCTTCGTCGGCCACACCTGAAAGCACAGCACGAGAGGGCCGTGAGCCGGCGTCCTGCCAGCGGCACTGCCTCCGGGCAAAGCGGTCCACGCCGTCACCGTCACTGCGGCCGCCACCGCTCTGCGGAAGGAGAAGAAAGGCATTATCTCACCGCGTCAGCGCCACCACAGGCTGGGCCTCGCCCTCCCAGGGCACAGATAGACGCTGCCAGACACACACACACACACACACACACACACAGACACACACACAGAGCCGTCTCCATGCTGGAAGGACGGCCCTCACCCCGCGCACTCGCGGTTTCTATGTTCACACGGCCAACACGGCTGCTCCCTGACTGCACGTCCCCTGGCAGGTCTCCACGTAGAATCCAGCCAGCGCCCCTGGAGGAAGCGGCGCCATGTCCGGCCGGCAGCTTCATTCTCAGGCAGCTTTGACCTTGAACCTGGGGACAGAAGGCGCTGCGCTCCGGCTCCCGGCCAAGGCCGTGCACGGGCCAGCGGCTGCAAGCGCACCTAGGGCAGACTCGCACAGCGCTCTGAAAGTCGTGTTTTCTTTAATCTTTTGAAAAAGAGAAGAAAAAAATTGCACATTGGATGGACACAAGGAATGAAATAAGAAAACATTTGCTAAAGGCGTTCTCTGAATCTTTAAGTTTTGGATTAGCGGCCACTTCGTGGACACATGAGAAAAAGGCACGGCTAGAAGCCCAGTGACCAAACCATGAGACCAGAGCAGTGAGTGGGTTCCTCGTCCCCTTAGACCAGGGGTCCTCAAACTTTTTAAACAGGGGGCCAGTTCACTGTCCCTCGGACTGTTGGAGAGCACGCACTGTGGGCCCGGGACGAGTCGGCTGCTAAGCAGGACAGGCAGTGGCGACAACAACACCTGGCGGGCCGGGTAAGTGTGCTAGGCGGGGGGCATGTGGCCCGCGGGCCGCAGTTTGAGGACGCCTGCCTCAGACACTGCTCCTTGGAGGAAAGACGGAAACGCCCACCTCTCTCTCCGTGAGTGGCCGTCACCAGGCACCTTGCAGACAAGCCCTTTCGCCCCAAAGCAGGTGGTCTGCAGGGGCCTTCTGTCGGGCGCAGACGGGCAGGTGCCCCCGGCAGACCCAGGCGCCCCGAGGGCTGCACTCTCACCCGCCCCCACCCGCCGTCAGGGAGCCTCAGACACAGAAACACTCAGGAAGTGACAGGGACTGAGAGACACGTGCGCTAAGGGCTCTCCACAAACCAATCCCGCGTGCTGGGCCGAGCGCAGTCTGTCCTCGGGGGCTCAGCGCGGCTCTGGGCCTTGTCACACGCGCCTTGCCCACCCTGGGGGAGCCGGCCCCGCGCTCATCAGTGCAGCCTTGCTCTCCCGCACTCGGCCCCAGCCGCTGTCCCCACGCCACCGCCCTGGCTCTGGGGACGCCGATGACAGCGGCCAGGGAGGAACCTCACCCAAGCCACCTCTGGGGAGACCACGGCCTGGCTCCGTGCCCCCACGGGAGGGCAGGCCTCCTGACAGCTGGAAGTGCGTGACACCAAGCTCACCAAGGGCTCCTTGGTAGTATCCTGAACACGGCAGACACTGGAGAGGAGGCAGCCCCAAGTCCCACCTTCCACCTGCACCCATCCTACGTCCCCACCTTAGGACCCGAGGAGACAACATTTTTGGAGCCAACTAACCAAGCACCATAAACGCAAATGCAAGCTGGCACCTCCAGGACCTTACCCGCCGGCCCACTGCGGACGCCTGTCCTGAGGGCCGGCCGGCTTGAGGCCCAGGACTACTGACGAGCCCGGCTGCGCCTGAGAACGTCCCCTTGGCACCAGCGCCGCCCACGGGGCCGAGCACGTTCCCCACCAGGGACTGCGTGTGCTTACCTGGCTGGTGCCAGCGGTTCTACGAGACAAAGAAACCCGCCGCCACAGGTGGCACCCGGCCTGCGCAGGGACTGAACACAGCTGTCAACGCGCCCACAGAGCGTTTCCTCAACATCCGTGTCGGCAGGAGGGCACCTGCACAGGTTTCCCAGGGAAGGTCGGAGCCAGGTTAGGAGCCGGCTCCCCCCCAGGTGTCTCTAGCATGAGCGCCCAGCACTGAGCATGTCAGGAAGTCAAACACGTCCCCGATACCTGGCCCCTTCCAGGGCAGGACGCACGAAGACGGTGTTAAGAAAGCACTGTGTTTGGTGACCTGACTTCCAAGTCTGACTCAGGAATCAAAAGGAGAGGGGCAGGTGGACGGGGAGCCGTGGCCAGGAGGGGTTGGCGGACTCACCTGGCTGCATCCTGTGGCTCCTGGGCCCCCACCCCAAGTCCCAGCCCCGTCTGTCTTGGTGGTGCCCCACACAAGTGGCACACAGGCCTCTGCCCACCAAGGAGGGACCCTAAGCACCAATCGTTAGCCCCCGCCCTGCTGCGCAAAGGAAACGTTCAGGAGCCCAGCCCATCCCGCCTCCGAGCAGAATCAGACCCCAACACTGACGAGACTTCACAGGATCACACTTTGCCGAGTGCTCAAGTTTCAGGCATGCGACACGCTGAACTGACCCTCAGCGCCAGGGACGAGGCCGAGCGCCCAGGGCCCTGCTGGCCGAGCTACGAGGGAGGAGGCCGTTCCCCCCACCTGCTTCCGGGGGGCGCAGCTCTTGGCTGTTCCTTGTCCTGCATTTTCAGGGCAGCCACGCCTGGGCTCCCCCACATCGAGAACCCCCTGCAGAGAGCTCCTGGCCCACCGTCAGGCCCCGACCTCGCCTGCATCTCAGAGCCCCGCCGGGCAGCCCAGGGCCAGGCCACCCAGCCGTCCTCGGGTACAGAAACTCAGGCTCTGGATGCCGCACCGGCACCTGACGCCTCCCGCCTCCCGGAGCCTGCGCGGCCCTCCAGAGCTGCGCCGCCATTTTGCGTTCACCGTTTGGAAGGCAGTCACCAAGATGTTAATAAGCCTGATACTTGCAAGACGAACCCACCAAATGCACAAACATTGAAAATGGACCACACCCACTGTTTAAAGTTAACTTCTTGTTATCTGGAAGGCTCCAGAGAAGGGCTTTGAACGCATGTGCACGACTCACATTTCCTTTTCCAAATGACCGGAGAGACCACTTGAGGCTAGAATCCAAAGTATCCCCAGAGCCAGGGGTGCTGCTTCCCTCCTCCCTCCCGTCCTGCTCACAGACGGGCCTGTCAACCCCGTTCCTGAAACCTCTCTCCCTTCACTGCTCCGAGGATGCAGGCTCTAGCTCGGGTCTCTCAACCCCAAAAAGCAGGGCCCCCACCTCCTGGTCCCCTCAACCCCACGTCAGGGTGTAAGGTGTTGGACAGCAGCTCCTGGCATAGTCCCCATGGCAGCGCCTCCGAAGCAGCGCTGGGTCAGGCCTCCATCTGTGGCCAAGGTGCCTGGGCACAGGCATCGACCCAGAGAGGTCCCCGCGAACCTCCCAGGTTCAGTTCCCGAGGTGCCGTGAAAAGTGACTTGGGAAGGAGACAGGGACACTCGGCCCAGAGGCGAAGCCACTGCTCTCCTGCTCCTACCGCCTAGCTCCTGGGAGCACGCACTCCACGGGCACTCACGTGGGCCTACTGTGTGCACCCCGTACAGCCAAGTCTTGGCAGAGAGGCCACCGTCCCGAACAGTGATACCAGCTGCTGGTCGTGACACGTACTCACCACTGGCGTGTTTGCTCATGCCCAAAAGGGCGCAACTGTGGCTTGGCAAGAACCGTGCCCGGCAGCTCTGGACATCCTGCCTGCTCAGAACCAAGGGGCCCGGCACCCCTAGCCAGGCGCCACCCAGCCCTGCTCCCTGTCCCGCCTGGGCTGTGACAGAACCTCGCCTGAAGGTGTGACCTGGTCAGACCTGCCCAGCCCCGCCACCTCCCACAGCCGCCCAGCAAGAGAAAGGCGGCGGGTAGGGGCGCCCCAGAGACACAGCCTGGTGACCTCTGGCCTCGGGGTTCCTGCCAGCCCCTGGACACCGCCCAGTGCAGGTCCCGACAAGGCCCCTGATGGCCGTGAAACACACCCCACAGCACACTGTCTCTGAGGCCAGGGCGGCCAGGGCCAAGGCGTGCAGGACCCACCCTGAGGCAGGATATCCTTAGAAACCCTGTCTCCTGGCCGGGCGCGGTGGCTCACGCCTGTCATCCTAGCACTCTGGGAGGCCGAGGCGGGCAGACTACTCGAGGTCAGGAGTTCGAAACCAGCCTGAGCAAGAGCAAGACCCCGTCTCTACTATAAATAGAAAGAAATTAATTGGCCAACTAATACATATATAGAAAAAATTAGCCGGGCATGGTGGCGCATGCCTGTCGTCCCAGCTACTCGGGAGGCTGAGGCAGCAGGATCGCTTGAGCCCAGGAGGTTGGGCTGTGAGCTAGGTTGGGCTGTGAGGTTGCTGTGAGCTAGGCTGACGCCACGGCACTCACTCTAGCCTGGGCAACAAAGAGAGACTCTGTCTCAAAAAAATAAATAACAAAATAAAAAGAAAGAAATTAGTTGGCCAACTAAAAAAAATATAGAAAAAAATCAGCCAGGCACAGTGGCGCATGCCTGTAGTCCCAGATACTGGGGAGGCTGAGGCAGGAGGATTGCTTGAGCCCAGGAGTTGGAGGTTGCTGTGAGCTAGGCCGACGTCACGGCACTCTAACGGGGGCAACAGAGTGAGGCTCTCTCTCAAAAAAAAAAACCAAAACAACAACAACAAAAACCTCATTAGGAACCGATTTACTAAAGGGTGGGCTCCACCGAGGCTTTCTGGTGGGTACAGAAACACTGCACGCCTTCCAGGACTGAAGAGACTTTGAAAACCTGCACTGTAAATTTAACACGTGCCCACGTGCTCTGGCGGGATGCCGTCACGGTTGCTCAGTGACAGGGACACGTTCCGAGAAACTCGTCGTCAGGCGATTCCGTCACCGCGGGAACATCCTGAGTGTGCTCGCGCGGTCCCGGTGGCGCAGGCTGCCTCGCGTGCGCGGCTGCTCTCCCGGGCACACGCCGGCCTGGACGTCGCCTTGCCGAATCCC